TTTTTTTTTTTTTTTTTTGGCCGCACCATGCGGCTTGCGGGATCTTAGTTCCCCAACCACGGATCGAACCCATATTTCCTGCTTTGGGAGTATGGAGTCTTAACCACTGGATCACCAGGGAAGCTCCTAAAGGTATACAATTTTAAATGAACACCTAAAATAAAAAAGAGTAACTCTTTCAATAATCCGCGAGTGAGAAAGGTTTAGCCCTTTAGCTGTGGATAAGATATTCAACTTGCAAAGCCAACACTCGATTTATTAATAAATATTTTAATTTTAAAAGATGGCCAACCAAGGCAGCGTGGGCAGGTTAAGATCATTTGTAGCTGCTGCCACTCCCTACCCATCCCTAACAATGTATTCAAATGCAATGCCAACGGTTACTTATTAAACTCAAGCGATATTATGCCCTGGGAAAACCATTATAAACTTGGACTGTAGGAGAACTGATCTCTTAATGAAATACAGAACAACTATCTCTGCAAAAAAGAAAATGGGCAATCGCCATGTAAGTATTTATTGCTTTCGGGAATCAAACCAAGTTCTAATTTTGGTTAGCATGTGGAGAAATTTAAACTACGAAATCATGATTGATACTTTTATACTTTATCATTGTGATCACTCCTAATTGTTGGTTTTCACAACAGCAAACCATGCTTTCAAAATGCATTTGGAATGTGTTTTTTCTCCATTAGTCAGAAATCTCTTTGGAGGCGTGAAAGAGAAGTGTTTAAAACAAGGTGGTAAACAGTGCCTTGCAGAGAGCAAGCAGTTAAAATAGTATTTAAGGAATATATGACTAAAGATGTTAGTTTGCAGCAAAGCTGCACAAAGTTTCATAGACTGTGCCCATCGGTGTTTTGGGAATACAGGCTCATGTTGCAAATATCAGTAGATAAAGACACAAGTATTCTCATAAACCTATACAACTTGGATTGAAAGGTGAAAATATCCCAGTATTTTTTCTAAACAGCACCAAATGACCAGATATTTGCAAATACTCACGGAATGGATTTAATATTTTACTTTTCTTCTGAAATGTCTAGGCTCATGTGAATAGCATGTCTATAAACTATTAATGGCTAAAAACTGACAAAAATACTACCATTTGGAGCTAACTATGCATAAGGCAGGTCAGAGTTAAATCTTGATTTTTTTTTTTTTTTTGCAGTGAAAAAGGTATACTTAAAGCTATGGCAATAAGAATTTTAATAAGGTTTTGCTGCACCTAATGTGCCTTCCCACAGGAAGACGGATTTATTGTGTGTACACTAGGAGTGAAGAGAATAAAACTCCAAAATCTTCTGTAAAGTAGAACTTTGTTAATAAGGTTTTCTCCTTTGCTCTAAATCAAACTTGTGCTCAGATGGTGGCAAACCTACAAGCGTTTTTCTCCAAAGAGGCATTATTTTTAAAATCATCTGTAAGTAGCATTTTCATACTAGCCAAGGTTACAAAGCTTCCATTTAGATTATCTTTCAGAGAAACTGAAACCTACTTTTAAAATACTTCTGATCCTGGAAAAAATTTTTTAAATAATAAAATAAAATACTTCTGATCCTGCCTGGGCTCCCTGGTGGTCCAGTGGTTTGGACTCCAAGCTTCCAGGGCAGGGGTCATGGGTTTGATCCCTGGTCAGGGAACTAAGATTCCGCAAGCTGTGCAGCGCAGCCAAAAGAAAAAAAAATTTTTTTAATAAATAAAATAAAATACTTGTGAACCATGCAGAGGACCTCAGGAAAAATCATCGGCTCCTGGTTTAGCAGCTTAAGAGGATGTTTTCACCCCTTGAAAGTCACCCCTTGAAAGGGGCAGCTGGCTTGTGTGAGTGGTCTAGCATTTTATGTATTTCTTTTTTGAATCCCCAGAGCCAATCTTACTCCCTGTCAGAAGGCAGTCAACAGTTGTACGAAGGGCAGGCCCAATCCTTGGCAGCCGTGCAGCCTCTCAGCCACCCATCAGGGAGTGGAGAGCCAGAGTTCCATCAGCCTGTAAGCACTTTATTTTCCCTCCAAATCACAGGTATGGCCAGGTTTTCTCATGGGCCCATATTACTCACCAGTGACTTGTTATACTGGACCGTCTACAATCCTCTGGTCTGAAAATGTCACCATCAGGCATTACTTCCAAGCAGGGAAATTTTTCCCTAGAAAATGTTTGTTATAATATTTGCAGCTAAGGTAAAAATGCAATTTAGGAACTCAGCTTCCCTTCCCAACAGTGTCCGCTTAATGGTGTCCTGGAACAGAGTACATGATCCTACACTATGCCCCTGTGACATTGTAGAAAATATTAGTGGAATTTAACATGTGCATAAAGAATGAATATGCTCTAAGACTGTGTTTCTAGATGAGTAAATGCAAAACCTTTTTAAAGGACAGATTACTGCATTAGACAATGACTTGAATAGGTACAAACTTAAAACTACGATGCTTATAGTTTTAAAGCAACTACACAACCAAAACAAATTTGCAAACTAAATGCTAGTAAAATTCAAGTCCATGATGTGCAAAAGTATGTTATTGATTTAGTGTAACAGATAATGTTATTTTGCTGAGATTAAATGTAAAAGTGGCGCAGATTGCTATAATGTGGTTTTTCTGAGTTGCAGCATGTCTAAAATATGATGCAGTGTGTGACTTCTTAGCTCTCCTGTCACGTTTCTCTATCCAAACTACTGAGAAACTTCTGTTTGTAAGACTCCCTGTAAGACAATTGGGCCTTCTCTTGGCTAAAATGCAGGCTTTTTATATTAAACCTCCCTCTGTTCTCTGTTCTTTTACCATGAGCTTGTAACAAGTAAAGTATGGCTATTTGGCATGCTTTTTAAATAGAAACACAAATGCAGGCATTGAAGTCACGTGCTAGCCCCTGCTCATCCTGATGATACAGTATGCTTTATATTTGTTTTTATATATTAGTTATTATCAGCACTAAAGACACTATATAAAAAGCCTACTAGGAAGGTTGAATTCCCCAAAATATGTCCACAAACCAGAGTCCACAGATAACTGTTTGACAGATATTGCTCTAAAGCCAATAGAATGTTGGCCAGGAAATTACATTTTCCAAGGTACTCTGATATGGAACCCTAGCCAATTCTGAAAACTGAAAAATTACTTTTTTTTCACTTTCCTCCAATCCTTTTGCCATCATTTTTTGAACTCAAGACATAGTGTTTGTGCCTAACCTATTTGGAGCAGTAATAACGGATATTTGGATATTATCATTTGCTGAAACACAGTGTTCAGAGTTTGCTTAGCCTGGAGGCCATGTCCCTGTGCTCAGTGAGCTCTGTGCAGAGACAGAAAAATAGATCCACAGGAAAAAGCTTAGGTTCAGCCAGATGACTCTTCTATTCTACTGTGTGAATTGTTTTCAAGAGAATCACCGTCTAGAGGAAAATAGAATATTGACACAAAGAGTGAGATGACTTTTCCTTAAGAGTGTGGCTATAGGTGGCAGAGTCATAGACAGGGAGCAAGATCTAGGGGTGCCACGGATAAATGTGGAAATAATCACAAACTCAAGAGGACTGTTGATTTCTGGAAATTTTTTTCCAGACTAATGCACAGGCGCTAGAAAGGACTGCTGCCTTGTTACTCATAGTATGGACCCTGGGCTAGCAGCAACATCCACATGGCCTGGGTGCTTCTAGAAATGCAGAATCTCAGGCCCACTCAGACCTACTGAATCAGAATCTACATTTTAACAAGATCCTCAAGTGATTCCCATGCATGTTAAAGTCTGCGGAGCAATGGACTGGGGAACAAATTCTTAAACTGCACTGGGTGTTGGAGTCACCTGGGGAGTTCTAAAAACCACTGATGCCTCCTGAGTCCCACCCCCAGAGAGTCTGAATGAATTAGTCTGGTGGTTGGCCTGGGCATTGGGATTTCTAAATGCTCCCCAGGTGATGCTAATGAGCACAGAGTTTGAGAAACAGTGAACTGCACACCACGATCCGGACAAGACTAGCTCAGCACACCGCTGATGTCATTCTGAGGGTCCGTAAATGAAAACCAACTTGTAAATGTTAGAACATCTGCTCAGCGATCTGCCACAGTGTTTGTCAACATGCCACATTTATGACTCACTTGTGGTAATATTTAGCCAACACAAATATTGTCTGAAATGGAGACTAGTTTGGGACGTGTAGCAGGAGTTCCGAACCAGCAAGTTCAGAAGAAGGTGGATCGGGAATACCTGGGAGCTACATGACAGGTGGGGCCAGGTCCAGATTCCTGAGAAAAGAAGGGAGGCTCTAGAGACAGGTGAGAATGTGTTTGGGAATTTCAGACAAAAGTAAGCACGGCTTGGGGCTTCCCTGGTGGTGCAGTGGTTGGGGGTCCGCCTGCCGATGCAGGGGACACGGGTTCGTGCCCC